TCGCGCTGCTGCTGCGATGTATTATCCCTTTGAGGGCTTCTGTCCTTGCTGAATCCACTGCATCACTTGATACCGCTTCAGTGTCCCAGTATTCAAAGACGCCAGCGATGGCTCAGGTATAGAAGTGAGGGATCTACCTATAATAAGATGTGCTGGTGTTAATGAGCGAAGATCATCTGGTGAACTTGACATAGGCATGAGGGGTCTACTGTTGATCATTGCCTCAGCCTGGCAGCAAATGGTGTGCAGCTCGTCAAAGGTGAGAATGTGGGCGCCAATCGCCCTTCGAAGATAATGCTTGGCCTGCTTGACTGCACTCTCCCATAACCCACCAAAGTGTGGCGATCTGGGAGGGATGAACTTCCACTCGATGCCTTCCTTGCAGCATGCCGCTTTCACGTTATCTGCGTGTTGTTACGATATGTGGAGTTTCAAGAGCTCACGCAGCTCCCGATTTGCACCGACGAAGTTTGTGGTATTGTCTGAATAAATGACACGACATTTGCCACGACGAGATATGAAGCGTTTCAGAGCAGCGATGAATGCGTCCGTCGTGAGGTCCGGAACCAGCTCAAGGTGGACGGCTTTGGAACTGAAGCATATGAAAATAGCTATATAAACTTTAATGGGAGCTCTACCTCTGAGTTGTTGGGTGATGAGTAGCGGGCCGCAGTAATCCACGCCTGTTTTCTCAAACGGAGGCGATGGCACTACTCGGTCTCTTGGCAAGTCGCCCATCAATTGTTCAGTCAAAATTGGCCGAAACCGGTAGCAGATAATGCATTTGTGGAGTACATGCTTGATGGTGCTTCTAGCATTGATAATCCAAAAGTTTTCTCGAAGGATGGTGAGCAAGGTTTGGCAACCAGCATGAAGATGATGTCGATGAAAATACATGATGATTGTATGAACGAAAGGGTGCGATTTTGGTAGCAAAACTGGATGTATGGTGATAACTGCGATAATGGTGATTTGTGAGAAACTGGACGATTTAATTGTAAATTGGTGAATTCATCTACGAAGGTGTGGGTTTGAACGATGCGACAGATGGTGAGGAGAGAATCGTTCATTTCCGATGCGGTGATGTGATCTTGTTGGCTGTGGTGGTGAATTTTGCGAGCTCCGTCTATAAAGCGCCGCACATAACAAAAAATTCGAATGAGTTTGTTGTAGTTGGTGGTGAATTTGTGCTCGCCGATGATGTCTGTTGTCGGGTTTGTTATTAAGGTGATGTGCTGCCGACGTTGTTCTGGGATTTCGATGTCGATGAGCGATGGTGAAGGCCAATGGTTAGCTTCAAGTGTGAGAAAATTGGGACCGTGAAACCAAAGTTTTTTGCCAATGAGCTGGTCAACCTTTGCTCCACGCGACAGTATGTCTGCTGGATTCACCTCGCTGGGGATGTGATGCCACTGATATTGCTTGGTGAGCAACTGAATTTTGGTTACTCGGTTGCTGACGAATGTTGACCACCGTGATGGTTCACCCTTTATCCAGGCAAGCGTGATCATCGAATCTGTCCAACAGTGAACGTTGTTTGAATCGTGACGAAGGTTTTTGGACACTGACTCAAGTAATTCAGCCAGTAGTAATGCAGCACACAGCTCCAAGCGAGGCAAACTAACTTCCTTCGTAGGTGCGACGCGAGACTTAGCACACAAAAGTGACGAACTAGCTTTCGTTGCTAAATAGATTGATGCGCCATATGCCTTTTGTACTTGCATCTGCAAAGGCATGGATATTAGAATCACAGTCGAAAGCTACTAACCTTGGGACTCGAAGATTTTCGAGAAGTGGCAGTTTTGCGCAGAATGACTCCCATTGTGTGTATACGCAAGGAGGTACACTTTCGTCCCAATTCAAATGAAGCTTCCATAATTGCTGCAACAAAACCTTGCAGGTGACAATGAGTGGGTTGAGTAATCCCAGCGGGTCGAAGAATCTAGCAATGTGAGAGAGAATGGTTCTCTTACTCACTTTCGATGATGGTGGTGGTGGTGTGTAGCGAAACAAAAAACTATCTTGCGATGGGGACCACATAAGGCCCAGTGCCTTTATGTAGTCAATGTCATCAAGCTGTATGACGTCTTCACGATCTGCTTCTGGTACGTCTGCGATTATGCGTGTATCATTTGATGAGAACTTCCTCAATGGAAATCCCCCATTGTTCAGCACCTCGATGACTTGCTTCTTAATTTCGACAACTTCTTCAATAGTGGAGGCACCCGTCATCAGGTTGTCTACATAAAAGTCGTTATGGACGGCGTAAGCGCCGATTGGATGAGATGACATGTGTTCGCATGCCAGCTGCTGCAAACACTTTGTGGCCAAGTAGGGCGCACATGCCGTACCGTAGGTCACTGTTTGTAACTGGTATGTGATTATGCGGTCAGTTATCTCATCGCGCCACAAAATGCATTGCCATTGTGCATCTTGCTTGTCCACGATGATTTGTCTATACATCTTTGCGACGTCAGCCATCAGCACAAAGACATGCCTTCTGAATCTAAGGAGAATTGAAAACAAATCATCTTGCACTGTAGGTCCAACTCGAAGAATGTCGTTGAGTGATTTGCCGTTACACGACGCATCGAACACGACGCGAAGTTTGGTGGTGCTGCTATCCAACTTCACGACTGCATGGTGTGGTATGTAGTTTACGAAGCTACCAGGGTGAGGTATGCGAATCATGTGATGAAGCTCGATGTATTCTTTCATGAAGGAATAGTAGTCTCGCTCGAGACATTTGTTGCGACGAAGTTTGATTTCGATGGACACTAGTCGTTTTTGTGCTATATCATACGAGCTGCCCAATGACTGTGGTGATTCCTTAAAAGGCAAACGAACGATGAACTTATTGGTGTTGGGGCATCTCTTTGTCGTCTCTGCGAAGAATTTTTCGCACTCAATTTCATCAGCAGTTAGACTTGGTGGTGTTTGATGTGGATTGTGTTCGATAAGCCGAAACCTTTCCAAAATCTGATCAAGTGACGGTTCCAAGGTGAGTGACGAAGCTTCCGTTACCTTCGAATCAAAGGAGATTTGCGATGGCCATGCGTTAGATAGTATGCAGTCGGTGCCTACTGAGGTGGTGTATGATGCGACCAATGACGCCGAAGATATAAGTGGTGGGATTGTGACAGCTCCAGCGACCACCCACCCAACCTTAGTTTTTTGAAGGACAGGCAGATTGTCGCCCAACTTGATCTGTCCAGTCAACAGCAAGTCATAAAAAATGCTCGCTCCAATCAGAAGATCAACTGGGCCTGGCTTGTTGAAATTATCGTCAGCCAAGTTGATGTTCTTTGGTATGTTCCATGCGATGGTGTTCAGTGGTGTGCGCGGTTGGCATGTCGTTATTGCGTTCATGATGACCGCATCTATGGTCGATGAATATGCTGTGTGTTGAGAGCGTATCTCCACCTTGCATAGGAACTGCGACCTTGATCCGCATAATCCTATGCCACTGATTTCCAGTGGAACCTTTTTGCGATGTACACGAAGTAACTGAGCCAAGCGCTCAGTTATGAAATGCAACTGCGAGGCGGAATCAAGCAGTGCACGAGCGAAAATCGTTGTACCCGATTGACTACGAAGCTGAATCACGGCAGTCGCAAGTAGAACCTCTTGGTTGCTGTCACAAACCTGAAGCACTGTTGGTGTCGAAGTTGACTTCATGGTGTTGGACGGTGTCAGTGGCTAAGACGATGATTGTGGATTGGTTGTGGTTGGTTGCGAACGGTGCAATAGAGTGTGATGACTCGCCCGACAAACTTGACATCTATGCGTGGACGGACAGTTTCGACGAATGATTCGGACCCAAACAGTTTAAGCACAGACTCTTCTTCTTTGCTACGTCGTAGCGTTGTACTGGTGTCAGCTTCATGAAGACGGAACAGTTGAAGGCATTATGACTGATAGAGCCTTCACACAAATTGCATTTTGGTTTATTGGTGGTGATGAACGATACTTGCTTTGGTGATTGACGAGACTTTGATTGCGACGATGATGTTGGTTCTGGTGACCGATGCGACGATTTGGTTGAAGTAGCGCTGTGATCGATGATATCGATGAGTTGGCAACGACGTTCGAGGAACGCTGCAAGATCTTCCCATGCTGGCAGCATGAGGGATACCTGGTGTGATGGTCGGTCCCACTTCGCAGCCACTTCTTCTTCCCATTTCACTTGCGTTTCATGGTCTAGCTTTGAAACGACCAAGTGAAGCAGTAGCCCGTTACCAATTTGTGTGGATGTTGCCATCGATTGCATGGCACGCATGTTTGCATTTATGACGTCGACGAAGCTACGAAGATTAGCAACGGTGGGTGTGGTGATGCGTTGTCTGTCGAAGATGTGCTGAAGATGCGACTGGAATATGTACCGCTTATGGTCGAAACGGGATTCAAGTAGCTGCAGCGCCTTCTTATAATTTGCGTTGGTCACCTCTAATGATTGTATGAGGGTAGCTGCACACTCTGAAAGGCTTGAGCGCAGATATTGAAATTTTTCAATATCCGAGAGGTCTGGATTTTTGTCGACGAGGACCAAAAAGATATTGTAAAAATCCAGCCACTCGCGGTAGCAGCCATTGAACGTCGATAGTTTTAACTTCGGCAAATTTATTCTCTGTCGCGATGAAGATGTGTTGTGTTGTTGTGTGATGTGGGTGCTACTCAGCTGCATTCCGGATGAGTTGGTTCGTAAAAACGATAGCCTTTCACTGTACAGTGCCTTAACCCTACAATAGCTCTCATCCATGGTCAGGCGATGTTCTTCATCCAGCTCGGTGTCATCTAAAATCTCCAGCTGCGTTTGGAGTTCCTCAAATGAATTGTAGTAGCGCTCGATTAGCGCTAGTTTGGCCTCTATGTGTGGTGCTGATAACGCGCTAAGTTGAACCGACGGTATTTCGAGAGCCTTCAAGCGATTTAACAGCGATAACCGTTGACTCTTTTTGACGCGGACTTCACGCGATTCGCGGTACAGAGGAGTTTGCACCCCTGTATCTTCTTGCTCGATATCCGACATATTTACTAACCAACTTTTATAAATCAAGAACGAAAAGAAATTTTAAATTCAAATACGATGACGAAAATATGGGAAAATTTGTGAGCCGGGCGTGATCCGGCTCGAAGGACCAGTTTATGTTGGAGCTAGGAGCGTTTTCCTTAGCCCTTTTTTGCGAATTTAAACAAGAATTAAGTAC